AGGCAGCACTTCTAGTATAGTGTCTTAGCTTCAAGCTAAGGTTGCTGGTTCAAATCCTGCCCAAGTCAGTTTTTTCTGCTAACTGTCTGCAAAATGCATTGTTAATTTTAACAAAAAATGCAATTTAAGGCAGTGGGGAGAAAATACACTGAGTACGCTGAATACCGTACTCGTATCGTCCCAAATTCTGAGACGATACAGGCGTATTTTAAATTGTGTACTCGCTGGCCGAGTACAATGTACTTGTATCGTACTTGTTGACTAGGGTGATACGACGTACTCGAGTACACACATACTCAAAACAAAGTACAGTACAATGTAATGCGAGTACAATACGTGTATCGTAATGGTTGCACTGTTGCTACGCGCAAAGGGCACAAAAGCGCGTTAGCTGTTAGTGTAGCATTAGCGCAGAAAGTTGGAATTGCGCTAACGCTACGCGCTCAGGGCACAAAAAAGTGCCCATTACCGCGCTACAGTGCTTTTCAGCGGGTTTTTTGCCTTTTTTGCCGCTAAAAGCGCTGTAGCAATGCGCTAACACTACCCAGAAACAAGCCGCCTGTTAGCGGGGCTACAGCGTAGAGGCCGGAGCAGAACGCTAACACTACAGAAAAAAGGGCCCGTTTTAGCGCCGCTACGCTAACGCTAAGTGGCCCTTTAGCGTAGCGTAGCGTAGCGGCCCAGCGTTGCTGAAAGGCTACTCCAACAAAAAGTCCTCATGCATTCTGTATGATATTATGCAGAAAGCTATGCTAGCAAAAAACCCTCATTTACACTGCATCTTCTATCCAAATTACCTCATGTCATGTCTAGGCTATCTAAATTCTCTTGTTTGTATGTACAGGCCAGCTGAAATCACTCAATCTCTTGCTCCCTTGGAGCTAAATTCCCTCATTATTGTCTATTTAAGGAGGCTGATCTCCTCTCAGTTTGTTTTCTCCCCAGTTTAGTACTCACCAATCACATACCCCCTACCATTACATACCTTACCATTAAAATTAATATAGCAGCCTTTACGGCATCCATCCCCTTCAACATTCAGAAAGGGTTTCACAACCAATTTTGAGTATTAAAGTGGGAGTTTTGGTGCTTGACAGATGGGGAAAATGTGGTGTGTTTTGGTTCCACAGGAGGTAGCAAGGTGGTACATACATGTAGCATCACCCTACCTTTTTAAATCCAATGTAGGAATACATCCCAAGTTTCCTGCCCCTTTAGGATACATAGTTTGGAGGAAGGGATTTGAATTTAGATTACATACCCAGTTGGAGATACTCTAACAGGCTGCTAGCACTTCAGTGTGTGTGTGCAAAATAGCCAATGCCCTAACACCTTTTGGGCAAAAAACACAGTGGAGTGTAACAGCCCATTGTTGATTCAAGTTCCTATCCCACAAGCAAAGACTCTTTCAGGAAGTGGCAAAGACAATTGAACTTTTTACTAAAAAATTTGACCTGACTTGATTATGGCAATGCTCACTGCCAAAACTGATTCTTGCATAGCCTATTCTAAGCATCTGCTAGCTTACATATTTTGTAAAGCAGGTCTAGCAACATGAACCAGGGCTCAAATGATTATGATGCACTTCAGATACAGAATCCCTTTGTCTTCCTAGCAGGTGAGATGATCAAGAGAGTTAGTGAATATTCTAACTACATGATCAGTCTCTCCCCTTCATGAAGAGTCACCTATTGAGATACAGGAAGGGATTGGTTTGAATCAACAAGCTCCAATTTACATTGATAATTTTTATGGATGATATTGATTTGGAAGATTCAATCCATTAAAATTGCTTTGGGAAGCAGCTTACAATTGCATGGTACCTGTGGGTTCATGCATCTCCTGGATTGAAACCACAGTATATATACCTGGAGATCCTCAATAATTCAATTGAAGATGGCTAAACCATTAAAGTGAAGCCATCTATGGTCATGATCCCAACCCAGACAAGAATTTATCACTGGAAAATGTTGGTTAATATTTGACTAACCAATGTTATCCTGGATTACATGGTGATAAAATAACAAATATTTTTCCAAAGAATATAAGAACATGACTGGGAAAGAACAAATATTAGAACAATAAAAAAGAAAACAGAAGGATAAAGATTAATGATAATAAGAGAAACATAGCACCCCAAACAATGGTTTATATTTTATCACTAGGCAGAAAAATGACAAAGTAGACAAGGATGTTTTATCAAGGAAGACATAGTGCAGCTAATGTTGAAAAGAAAATCAGTAGAAAGATCTGAAGAGACAAAAATAGAGAAACTATTTTATTCTCAGGAGATTGAGAAGAATTACTTAGTTTTCAGATTACCAATGATTCTTTGAGAAAGAACACCCAAAATTAATAAATTGAAAAGAAAGAGAAATATAATTGAAAAGAAAGAGAAATATAATTCAAAATAAGAAGATGTTTAGATGGAGGTTTTAAGAGTTTGAATATATGTTGTTATCAGTTTTTAAGGAAGGGGTAATGGAAGCTGATGAATATTGGGGATATGTGCAAATGAGTGAGTGAATGAGAAGTTATAGGACCTGGGACAGCCCCTATAATTTATAAAACACAGTAATCAAAATGTATGAATTGCCATTTTTGCCTTTTCCCTGAAGAAGGGGAGGTAGTAACCAAAGGTGTATGTATGAGAGTCGTAAAATTTTTGGCCACAATGCTCTCCATGGCCCCCCTTTTAAATTGAAAGCCCAAGCCCAATGCTTTAAAGGGCTGATGTGCAGCTCAGAGGGGCTGTTTGCACCAGCAACTACTAGACCCCTTGAAGTGAGGACTGGTGTATGCCCTTTTTGTTGCCTCTTTTACCCCTCCACCTGCTGAAGGTACACACCAAAAGGCAAAAATGTATGAATGTTTCTGGAAAGTGCTGAAGCTACACACAAAACATGTATGAATTTTTCAAAAATCTCATCTGTTTTTGTTACTGTGTTCTATAGGAGCTTTCCCAGCTCCTGAAGAGATGGATTGAGTTTTGATTGGGATTAGGTTTTGGTTTGATTGAGATTAGAAGGTTTTGATTGATGAGGCAAGTTTCAGATTTGTGGCTTGTTCATTATTGAGTGGTTCTTACTGCAGAAGAGTTGTCACAGGACAGTCACACCAGATTCCAACACATAGTCAGTCCCAGTGTCTGTTTGACCAGTATACCAAAAGGAAAACTCCTGCACCAATCTGATTACCACAGAGAACACACACATAAATCTGATGGATTGGATGATTTACTCAGCCAACATGGCTCAGGGTGTTGTCAAGTATTTTGATGGTATCATGTGTGATATACAGATCTAGATCCTTTTGATATGGAGAAATGAGTCTGATCAGAAGATATAATCATGGGTCTGAGAGCAGCAAACACAGGAAAGGTGAGTGATTGAAATTATGAAAGGATACATTTCACAGACAAGGGAAAAAAAGTAGGAGATTGACAAAAAACAGAAAGAGAGACTGAGACTTCCCTGAGAGCAGGAAACACAGCACAGTCTCTCAGATGAGGAAAAGCAAGATGGTGGAAGCTTTGTTGAAATTTGAATCTTCTGATTCAGAAAATGGAAAAAAGGTAATCGTGGAAGTGATGATGTGACTGGATAAAGGCTGACACATAAGAAAGAAGAAACACTGATGAATATGTATTGTTTCTATGTATCAGACTGTCTTGCAGGGCAGTCTAGTGAACATTTAAAAGGAGGTCAAACTGTGGTCAAAGAGAAATGAGAGAGAAATGATGATGAATAGAAAGATTTATAAGAAAAAAAAAACATTAATTGGGTACAATGCAACATTAGCAAAGAAGCATACAACACTGCAAGAAGTAGCTAGAAACCATAAAAGATAAAATCTACTTGGACTGGCTGATCTCTGACACCATGTACAGAGCTATGAGAGCAACCTATGAGGTGTGATGGTGATTCTAATCTGGATGACTAAGGAAGTTATACTCATGGTGCTGCACATATCGCCAACACACCGCTGGGCAAGGGGATTGGATAAGCTACATTGTAGCTCCTGCAAGCAAATTAAGGTATCAAAGGTATTTACACACAAACCTCAGCTTGAAGCTGTGCTGGTGCATATTGTGATGTTCCGTCGACACGAGTCTCGGAGCTTTCTTCTCCGGAAGACCCTCAGCCGCATACACAGAAGTACAGTTGGGTCTTACAATAAACGCCTGCTTAAAATAATATGCTGTTCTTTTAAAATTCTTTGGAAAAGGAACCCACATCCTTCCATATTTTAGAGTTCACTTGTCTGTCTGTGTATGATCTAGTCGAACGTTATTCAAGAGAAGTGCGGATGACTAAAGGTCTACAGTTTGAGTTCATTACCACAAACAGGTGGAGGCCGGGGGGACTTCCAGCAAGTGAAATATAGATCAGGAGATCAGGAGGGTGGTGGCCGGAGGGTGTGTCCGGGGCGGAAGGTGGAGGTGCTTGATATGCGGATACAGTTGCGTGTAAAGTTCAACAGTCTGAAAACCCGTTCAGACACTTCCACAGCCAGCGAAGAATCTTCACTAATCTTGACTAGGCCGGCGTGACTTGATCAAGTGATGGATAAAGAGTTAAACAGATGGAAACAGACGTATAAAAGAGAGTGTTGACATGGCCCCTGTGCCACATGTGCCCCCGGATTAAAACTTGTTTAACCTTTTTTCTTGTTTTTCGTCGGCAGGCTCGTCTCCACCAACCAACCAACTTCACCTATGATCAGCTCGGCCAACCAACTTATCATCATCATCATCATTGGTATTGTCACTGCTTGAAGTTGCACCCGATCAGCTCAGCTTTCATCGCGCCTCTCCCACCCCGGCCGGCACTAAATAAGTTTTAGATCAAGTGTGGCGAGAGCTTATTTTTTTACAAACATAAAACAAAACGTGATTAATCGTTGGCGAACGGACGAGATTGTAAGCCAGATATATATAAGGGGATATATCGCTCGACTATCACGTTTTCCCAGTGTCCATATTAGAAGATTACCCTTGATCATGTTGTTGCTGGTGTCTCATTCGCTGTAGTGCTTGAAGATTGTGAAAGCGATCTGTTGCTTGTAAAAAGCTCAAGAGAAACACAAAGCACACTCGATATTCGGGTTTTGTTATAGGGCACCGGCACCCAAAACCGCATCGTCCGCATCGAGTTTGTCTCCAACTGTACTTCCCCAGACACACACACACACACACCGGCCGATTAGAAACCAACAAAGATTAAGCATCCTTTTTTTACTCGATTAGTGGTTTTTTTTCTCTCTGGGTGTTGAGAACCGAGGTCCTGTGTCTGAGATCTCAGTGTAAGATCATTGGCTCAACTAGTGGGGAAGGACAGTCACTGCATGACGAAATCTTACAAGAAGTACTGCTGGTTTTGAAATCCCAAGACCCTTCTTTACCACCATATCCACCCCTTTGATCCTTATCGCCTCCTCCTCCTCCTCGTCTTCTTCCTCTTCCCCTCCCTGCTCTCCTTTCAATAACTCAAGCCCCTGCAACCCTTCACTCTCGACAGATCTCCAGCTCGGCTACCCTTACCCCCGCTAGCATTTCTACACACTTTTACACCTTCGTCTGGGCCGTCCCGAACCATCCTCTTCCACCCTCACACACTAGCACACTCGAAAAAAAACTAAAACACCTCCTCAAAATTAATTCGATCCCTCAAGAATCCAGCCGCGCACAGAACCGCCTTTCCTCTCTTTCTCTTCTCAACAACATCAATTGTAACACCCGAAGCTTGCTTTTTTTTTGATCGACTTTCAGAAGATCCCTCACAGAACTCCTTCTTGGTTGATTACAAGATACCCACGCCATCATCATCATCATGTCTGAACACCTCCACCAGCCTCCCGATCTCAATCCTCGTCCGGGTCAGTCTCCTTTTTCTTTTGCTTTCATTAAAAATCTCTTGATTTCACATTCCGGCCATCCCCCATCCCCTTTCCTTTTCGAGTTTCTCTGTCTCTCTCTCTCTCTGCCTCTCCCATTTTCTAAACATTCCTCCAATTTATCTCCTCTGCTCGTCTCGCCCTGTCCCGAGAGAGATGATGATGATCTGGCAGATCTTGCCGCGATCAGATAGATTATTTTTTTCTTTCTTTTCTTTTTTCTTCTGGCCTGTCTTGAGCCGACGAGCGATCCTTCGGCCTGATCACGGAACCCCGTTCGGCCCCCCCCCCCTTCATGCTTGTGATCTGCCTCTCTCTCTCTCTCTCTCTCTCTCTCTCTTCCCCGTCCTTCTTTCTTTACCTCTGCTCCTCTCCAAAATACCACGGCTGCAATCTGTGGCTCAGATATTGTACACATCAGATGTATTTGGAGCCACTCCACCCCTCGCCATCGATCGGCTAAGCTGGTCAGCCGTACAGGAGGGGCTCTTCCTCTCCTTGGTACGATTGTTGTCTTTCCGAGTCTGGACCACAATCTTCAGTGATCTGTAAACTTGATGACTGTACACTGGCGAAAACGTATTCGTCTTACACATCGAATTTGTTTTGATCAAGCTGTGCCCGTATCTATCACGCTCACCCAATTTGTACCTCTAGTGGTGTACATCCAAGGTGGCAAGAGCGAAAGAGAGAGAGAGGGCGACATCAATTTCAAAGAACCCAATCCACTTTCCAACCAATACCAACTACCATGGGAATGCCGATCGCAACACACATCTTCTCCTTTTGTTGTTGTTGTACAACAAATTCGTGCGAATCAAATGAGTCTCAAAATAATACAAATCGTTTCCATACGGGGTGCCGTATTATCGCCATCGGTCGAAGTTGTCGAGGGAGAAATTGACTGAGCTCCCTGAATGAATCAAGAGCATACACTTCGTGCTCTCCAGTCCAATGATATATTTGCTGGATCTGGATCACACTCCCCCACTCCACCCAGATGGGTTTTATGCACACACCGTTCTTGGGAGATGATAAATGCTGATTTATCTGTACAGCTCATGATCAACTCGTCTTTCGTGATTCTTCTCATGTTGGTTGTTGTATGTACACTTTGGCGAAAAAAAAAAGGGGGGGGGGGTTCTTATTATTGAAGGAAAAAAGAGAGAACCATTTGAAATGATTTTGGACAATATTATATTCCCAGCTCATGGTGTGGTTGTGATGCATCAAGTCCAAGATGATGTTGTTGTCACTGTTCGGTGGATGTCATCTGTTGATTCTATGAATTGCTGCAGGTTTCTTTCTCTCTTTCTCTAATTTGAAGGAGCCAGACAGTGTGGATCATGTATGCATTCATTCACGTCCTCTCTCAAGTCTAACGACAACTATCTTTTGATAGGGTTCATGTTGGACTTTTCTCATCTCTGCTCGATTTTATTAACTTGTCAGATCACTGTGATTATTCTGGAATGTACTCGGCTTTGGTTGGTTGAGTGTGTTTGTGTGTGTGTGTATGTATAGCAACCCAATCACCATAAATTATCAAGTACAATTCTTTCTCTCTCTCTCTCTCTCGATGACTGTATTTGGGCTGTCACCGTGATCTGGTTGGAAGAATTTGATTGAAGTTGGAGATTATTATTAAAGAGCGAGAGGAGCTGCTGCTGTCTTTCGCTCTCTCAACATCGACATCCTATGTAACCGCAACAGCAGCAGAAGAAGATCAAGACGAAGAAGAAAACCACTGAAGAAGCCTTGATCATCAACCAATATGTTGTTGTTATTATATGTCGTAGCTTATCTCGGCTCATGAGTGGT